AAAAAATTATTATTTATATGTTATAAAAATATTATTTAAAAATAAGAAAAAAAAATCAAATGACTTATATTTTAAAATAAAAAGAGTATAAAAAGATTTAATAAATGTGTTCTTAATTTGTATCATAAAGAAACCCCTTATTATATAACATGAATAAAGTAGCAAAAAATGTTTTGTGGTATATATTGTAAAATACTAACTGATGAAAATCCCTAATAATAGATGTAATTTGGACTATAAATATTATTATTTGATTTTTTATTTAATAATTAATATTTTATAATTTAAAATAGTCTAAATTAGAAAATATTAGATTCACACAATAAACAACAATATATAATTACAAATGTTTTATATACTTAGATTTCATTAAACTTTGCCCCTGATCTTTACGGTCCAACAACTATAAATCAACTCGTAAGATGTATTTCTCAAGTCAAAGGTTGCGAGTTGAATACTCTCATCCCAATTTGTAACCTTACTCAAAATAAAAATAAAAAAAAGATTTCATTGAACTCAATCAAACTATTGATAAATTGAAGAGTCTTGAATGTGGAGCCATCCTTCTAATAAGTAACTAGCTATCTGTAATAGGAGGCAATTTGTTTTTTTTTAAAAAAAAAAAATTTTATGAGACAATTCAAACTAAAAAAGAAAAAAGCATTATGATATATGTTATATTAATTAAAAGGAACACCTCAAGCTGATATATATGTATATGTATCGAACATATTACAATTATTTATATGTTAATTAGAGATGAAGGAAAGGATTTTCATAAGTTCAAACATGTAACGTACAAAAAATGAACAGTTCTAACCCAATATCCAATACTACTGGAGTGAAACAGGCTATTCCACCTATATACTCTTTATCAAAATGCCAACTTCAAAGTTTGAAATTTTTACATTGTATTATCGTTTAGTAGAGCTTATTTTTCAATTTTCTTTCTCATAAATTTATTTATTTTTGAAGAACAAGGTTGCCTTTTAACATTTTAAAGTACTTATAAATACATTTAGAATATTCCTAAGAGATTTAATTAAGACCAACAATTTGTTGGTTTGAGGGAAAATTTTTGATTTTTTTAAAATAAAATCTTTAATTCAAGTCTTACAAATAAAAAAAAAAACTTTTTCTTTATGAGATTTGGCCCGATTCAATTTCGAATTAGTCATGATGGAACGTGATTTCTAGATACAATAGAGAGATCTAATTAAGCATGTTTAAATGATAACACTAACATAAACACACTAATTAAGATTTTTCCTTTTGGACATTAGAATCTTATTGCAAAATTCTTTTAGCAATCGTATGATTTTATCTCACAATTCAACCGAGAAGAGATGACAACACATAATTTGAACATTTTCATGCAACAAACACCATATCCAAAGACTAATGATTGTAGCTTTTTGGCCTTAAGAAAGAGTTCAATAATCCTATGAAAGTATGAAGTTTGAACTTCTGTGAACTTTCTGTATATACAACTCCGTGAATCAAACAAGTGCTAAAAACGGAGCCAAATGGGGCATGAAAGGCAATAATGAGCCCGATGGATGCTGCCTTTTTCACCCAAATTATCTCATACAAGACATACATTAAAGCCCATGACCCAAGAACGACCAGTCTCATCAAAAATCATAATCTATGTCTGTTACGTTCTGGGATGCAGAACGCTTAACAAGCCTTTCTTGCTCATCATACCGATCAAGGTTCTCACAAGGAGCTGGGAAGACACTACCTATTACGCGACCTTGTACAAAGGCACACTGGAATATGTGCTTCTTCTTGTATGTTATCCCCACTGACATGTCCCTAAAAGTCACATTTCTCACGGGAATTTCTTCGCATCCATGGATACGGACAGGAACACGAACTCCTTGACCATGTACTCCAGTGAAGCTTAAGTCTTTGATAGCTGGAAGAGCCGTTGGGTCATAATTGTTATCAGGATGCTCGTTGTAATCTGTCTTAATTACGATCCCAACACGGACATTGTCAAATGTTAGATTGCGATAAGTTATATGTCTAACATATCCACCCCTTCCAGGAGCTGTCTTGATCCTGACCGCTCGGCGAGAGCTCCATACAAGGAGGTTCTCTACTGTGACATTTGATACACCACCAGACATCTCACTGCCTATTGATACACCGGCACTGTAACATAATTCAGCCAAGGTGGATCTCAGTTAACACTAGACTTTGCTCTAGTTAATACTTAACAGAGGCAGTCCTTCAATGCAGAAATTATCGTGATGATAATCATCACCAGGGCAGGAAGACATGAACAAAGATATCAAGAAGTTCAATATTTTGCATACAGAGTACAAACATATGCATCATGCTCATGCAAGTATAAAGTAATCTTTTTGGTCATCGTGCAAAGCAGGAAACCATATTTCACAAGGAAGCAAAATCAGAATCTTCACCTGACCATAGAGCGCACAACAAGGTTGCGGATGAGAATGTTGGTTGAAGGTCGCCCATAAGCTACTCCATACTGATCCCAGCCACTCTTTATTGCAATCCCATCATCCCCAACACTTATGTAGCAATCCTCAATTACCACATCCTTGCATGAATCTGCTTATGACAATATTTTGGGTTAAATTCAATATAAAACAAGTAAAAAAACTTTTTTTTTCAACGGCAATGTAATATCTTAATTGTTATCCCTCCACCCTAAACTGAATGCTTTAGTCCTTCGATGACTTTGCAAAAATAATATCCACTTTCCTAAATAACTTCTAAAAGTGACCTTCCCTGCATTGTTCATCTTTGTTTGGCAATCATCCTGAACCAATCTTTAATAAAACTAGTAGAATTTATAAAGAATCATTTCTTGACTATTTGTAATGAAAGCAAGCTCTACCCCACCTGATGTACTTTCTAAATATTAAAAAATAAATAAAAGGTAGCAAGTAACCCTACTTTGGTCCCACATAAACACAAAAATGGAGATTTTTTCTTTTTTGGAGGCAATTCATGCAACAGTAAACAAGGAGAAGCATTAAGCAGAAGAATATGTTTTCTAGTCTTAGCTAAAAAATAGTTCCATTTAGAATGAAAACATTGGATTTATGATAGACATATAGGGTGGTTATCAAGTTGCAATATAAAATCTTCTTCAATATGTCAGAAATGGAAGGAAGAAAAGAAAAGTAGTACTACATTCTGTGTCTAACATTCTAAGCTCCTTTGCAATTTCAAGAACCCATAGATACACAATGCATGTCAATGACGTATCATCAATTTATCATCTATGCTAAGCTTGAGAGATGGCCAAATCACACAAGGGTTTACAATTACAATTTACATGGACCCTGTCTGGAATCCTGTTTTACAGCCACCTACATAATATCATGGTACATACTGGTTCTCCCTTCCCTCATCCTAAAAAAATATGTTTCCTCTTGCTAATATAGAAGAAAGATTTCTGGCCAAAAAATATTCCAAATACTTATTCATGTCATAGTACTAAAGACTAATATGGTGCTTGCACCATTTAGCCCATCCTAATTCCATTGCAAGTTTATATGTTTAATATGAGTATTTACCAGGATCAATTCCATCTGTGTTTGGGGCTTCAACAACCGGAGCCAAGATGGTCACATTCCTGATTGTTATGTTTTTGCAGTCATATGGATGGATTGTCCAAAATGGAGAATCACGGAAGGTTACGTTAGTAATCACAATGTCGCTTGACCACATTATCTGCATAAGTGGGCCCCTAGTGTAGTTGAGACGCTTTTGGCGATACTTCTTCCACCATGGCTGACCCTGTCCATTTATGGTGCCATTATGCCCTGTTTTTCAGCAAAAGAGAAGATAGATCAGCCTAACAATTCATTTTCAATAACAGAGGTCAACATCCTGCCTCCATCTCAACAAACAGAGTCACCAAATTTCTATGATAAAGAAGAATTAATGTTTTAACTAATCAAATTTATGTTAATAATTCTGGCAAAAGCCAATTAAATAACCATAATACCTGCAATTATTTCTGCAGCTTGCCTAGTAGCAGCAGAAGTTATATCAAACAGGAGATAATAAACTAGAATATTTTTTAAGATTACAATATTGGTGGTCCATAATGATAAAGATAGCTGCAAAAGAGAGAAAGTTGGCAGTATTAACATTCCAAAACACAAAGGAAGCTCCTTAACCATTTTTTAATGAGTGAAAACTATGAAGCAGTTCAGGCATAGGTAGAACCAATTATTTCTTTGATCAAGGAACAAGGAGCAGAATGAAGAGGGGTCTATTAAGCTCCTTTTGGTTGTTTCTCTAAATGCTGCATCAAGACTAAGTTGATGCTTGAGTACAAAGAGACCACGATAAACAGAAAGAAAATAATACATTGTAGGGCATAGATTATAATTGAGATGTTTATGAAGAAACTAACAGAAAAAGATAAAAAAGAAACTACATTTTATGAAAGGTTAATCAACTGACCAGTTATAACAACATCTTTAAGGTTTTGACCATGGATTAAACTCCCATATCGAGGTCCAATATGCTCTCTTCCATACCCATATGAAGGCAATGGAGGCATTAGTGGCCAGAGCTCCTCATCCTGTCAAATACCACAATTCACAAAACAGAGCATACTCAAAAGCAAGCAGTAACCCCAGTGCTTATATTGAAAAAATAAAAAAGTTAAAAGTTCCAAATACTAATGTTTAATGAAAACACACACACACACACACACATGCAACCACTATCATATCATGCACCATCTGAGGTTTATTTTTTGGCCGACCACCATTTCTGAGGTTGAAACTTGAAAATACCAGTCTATAACAAATAGAAGTGGTGGCAATAATATATTATATGGGTATTGAATAGGCCTTTGAACCTAAAGCACCTTCTAGGGACTAGAAATTATTGGTACAGATAAGACATTAAATGATCTTAACATGCAAGGTTAAATCTCTACAGCCCCGTCTAACTGACTAATTTGCATTCTACTCTGGTGATTTGCTGCAATAATGATATGATGAACAACACGCTCTTGATTAGATACACAGATCCACTGATTATTTTATGTCAGAAAACACTACATGCCCACATAAGAGATTGATAAAGACATAAGCTGAATCTGAAGAAAAAGCCCAAAGGCGCTTCTAGGAACAAGAAAGAATAAAAGAATTTATACAGAAAATAAGCTGAAGTGCCAGTAGATCTGCGCTCTTACAAAATTGAAACAAACTGCAGGCCAATATCAATGTCATAACTGATCAGGTCTTTTATACCAGTATCACAAGCATCTTCCAGAAAAGCCAATTCCATGCATATGAACAGAAAACAATAGCTTAAAAATTCTACTCAAATCCACCATTGTTTGTTACAAATACGCTACTACCATCCACAATCCTCCAAAACTCAGTAGATTGTATAAATAAACAAGACAGTGACACACACACACATACACTCTTCCTAAAATTAGCAACAAAAAGGCAATTTAACATAGACTCTGCATTCAAGACTAAAACCTTCCGCCTTCTTTATGCAAAAGATATGCCTAACTACTATCCTTTTTCGAACTCCATACCCATTTTCGCATCTAAGTGAATCATCTTCATATATTTTATCAATTGGGTGTCCAAACATAAAACCCAAAATCATTCTCCATTCATAAGTCAAATCAATAAAGAAAAGAACTTTCTAATCAAGCACAAGAAATGGAAAGGAAGAGAGTATAATCTGCATAATTAAACTAAATCCCTCGAAAATTAGTGCAGGGAAATTTCAGCACCAACCTGAATTGCAAGAATCTCAGCATCTTCAGCTAGAAAGAGGGTCATATGACTGGTGAGATTAAACGGTGCGGTAAGCCACTTCCCGGGCGGCACGTTTAGCTGTCCGCCGCCTCTCTTCCCAAGCTTCGAAATTGCCGACACCGCCCTCTCAAACGCTTCCGTGTTAAGCGTCACCCCATCCCCAACTGCCCCAAAATCAGTCAAATTGAACGCAACAGGCCGCAGGCTAGGGATGTCTCGATCCAAACCCGCCCGCCCGAAGAACGAGAACCCAACCCCCACAACATTCCGCTGCCAGATAAACACGGATGAAAATGCAGCGATCCAAAGAACAGTGAAAAAAGTCTTGTGCGAGGACAGAAACGCCGGGACCGATCGCCTGAATTCGAACCTCTGCTGGTGCAACTGAAACCGGCCGAGCGGCACCATCTCTACCACCATGGCTTGTTTCAGGAACTGGGTCGTAATGGGTTTTGCCTGGGAAGCATGGAACAGGTGGATCTGTGTCTATAATAGAGTGATGGTTTGGGTGAAAGTTAGCGATCAGAAGCAGTTGGAAGTAGATTCGTTAGTTTGCATTTCAAGTTTAGGAGTCAGTGACGGGGCATAGCAACAAGGATGAATAGAGATGGAGCTAGTCCTGGTGTGGGTGTCTCGGATCGGTCACGCCTGGGTACGGGTTCGCACCCTGGTGCTTGCCCCATGTTCATACGCGTGGAATCCAACCGCCATGTATTAATGATTTAGGCCTTGAGATTAGGAAAATGAAAGATAAGTTAAAATTGTATTAAACTGTAAAATATAAATTGGTAGAGGAGAAAGTATACTTAATATAATGATATTGGGCTTCCTATTTAATTATTTATGTTTTACTGTTAGAAGGAAAAATAGATGATTTTTAGAAAAATTAGTAAAATTGTCTGGTTGGTACTCAACCTTTCAACAATGTTAATTAGATCCCTGACTTTTCAATTATTGTAAACAAGTATCTAACCTTTTTCAAATGATGTGGCTGCGAACATAGGGAATTGGAGATAGAGTGATTATTAATGAATGGTATTTGATTTTATGCTACAAAACTCGCCCTCACTCTAATCCTTTGTTCAACTCAAGTTAATTGCTTTCTTTTAAATAAGAAGGGTTGTTATTTATAATTAAAGAATAATCTTCTACTAATTTTAATTTTTTTTAAAGAAAATAATCAAATTACATCTTCTACATCTTTTAGTTTCATCATTTGATTAATTGAAAGATATGTTAGTGTAAAGATAAGTCCAAGATCCTTAACCTCGAACCTACTACTACAAATTTTTAATAATCGAAGTAAAGTTAAATCCAGTGCTTCCCGACCAAGTAGCTACATAACATGTACAGTGAACATGTCCACATCTGATTCCCCATACTTGATTTCTCGGTCTTGAAATTATCATATGAAAAGACACGTCGAACTCCGATTATCTTATTAAGCAAGTCTCGTGGACATCTTTCTAAGGCTTATAAATACCTCTCGGGGATCACCTCAGAAAGGTAATCGAAATTGACCTAAAGCTCCTTTTTTCTATTATTTTAATAGTAAATCCAATTATTATTGATTTAAGTATTGAAGTGTCTATCCGAGGACCAGTTCGGGGCTTTGTAAATATATCCGGAGTGAAGACACAGACTGAAAAAGGACTTCTGGTTTGGTGCAATTACAGTTAAAGATTCTATTATGGTATTATGATGATTTTAATTCATTAACATATTTAGAGGATTATGATTTAATTGAACAACATTTGAAAAGATTAGCAACCATTTATTAAATTTAACCAACACAAAGCTTAACGTCCATTAATCGCAGATCGAACCCCCGAAAGAGGGTGTCCCTTTAGATAGCTATCTTATTAGGTAGGGCTCTTAACATAAGAAATAAATAAATAAATAAAAGAATTCTATCACGTTCGGTAGGTGATATTGGTAGGGAGTTCCAATCTGTCCTTAATGATTCCTTTGAATAAAAAGTCCATTGGATGCTATGTTTGAGGATATTTAGCTGTTGCATGATGCGATTTGTTTGAAAGTCACAATCTTTTTATTTTATATTAAAACAAGCACTAACTACAAGAATTAATATTGTGAAAGCAACTAAGCAAGAGTAAATGAGCACAACATAAATTCAATTAAAAAGCAAATGGAACCTTTTTTTTTTTCTTTTGTAAACATGAGTGTTATAATTTTAAAACAAACGAATTTTACATATATGCATAAAAAAATGTTGTTTTATAATTTAAATTATATTAAATTATAATACCAAAATTATTATTAGAAAAATGACTCAATATCAAAGGGGCTAACTTTTACTCTCATATTTAATTTAATACAATCTAAACTGTACTTTATTTTTTTTACCTACATACTGCCTCTTTCTCATGTATCATGTAAAACTTTATCCAAGTGTGAGAGTTGTAACCTTTTTTTTTTTTCTTTATCGAATGAATGAGAGTTGTAACCTATTGAGATCAATTACATTAACGAAACTATATTTTTGGCATATAAAAATATTAAAAAATATTATAATTATAGTGTTACATATATAAACTTACAATTTTAACATTTATTATATGAGTGATTCTTTTTATTTATAAACTCACATCAGATACTATATATATATTTATTTAAATATACATTATAAGTGATTTTATAAGTATATCATCACCATAAAAATATGAATGTTGATCATAGCCAAAGAAAAATGTAACCAAATCAAATATTGAGTCTTTTCCAATAATCAAGACGTTGGTTTCCCTACTCTCTCGTTCCCAAATAATTATTAGTTTTTTTCCTCTAAATTTATGTCATATTGGTTATTTTTTTTTTTATTTTTTAAGATAAATAAATATTTTTTATTATAATTTTATCATTATTTATTTATTATAATTAGTTATCATATCACAAAAAATGTTTCTTTATTTTTTATTTTATTTTTAAAATAAACACAGAAATTATCTCTAAATTTTATATTTAAAAAAATTACTTACAAAAATAACCATTATTTTAGAATAGAATAAGGAGTAAAAAGACAATTGCTAGCAATGAAAATCTCTTGACGTGGGTTGGGCCAAGTCCTGCTTCCACTAGTCCCATCCCATGTGCTTCATTGTCCCTCTCCGTAACCTTAAACCCATAAAAGTGTGTAGTTGTTACATGAGGAAGTTTTCTTTCCACCCAAGTCATCATACAATCATTTTTTGTTCTCCAACCAAGTCATACAATCCTTAGACCATGGAATCTTGGAGTGGACAAAGGCCATTGATGATCCTCCATTTTTAGGCTTGGTGAAGCTCTGTCTTTCTCTTTCACTGCAATGTTGTTTGACTTGTTTTCTTGGTCTTCCTTCAAATTTGGAAACCCTGGAGTTTTGTATGACAAGGTCAACAGGATATGAATATGCAATATTTCTCTGGCTTCCTCTGAATCTCTCAATCCCATGCCTCTATTCTTAGAATATACTCATCAAAACTTTTGCCATGTCCATTACCCAATACCATTGTTTCAAAGCCACAACATGGTCTTTTCCCAACATGGCACACTTTCTTCTCTTCCCCAAATGAAGCAAAACTTAAAACAAATTCCTCACCCAACCACACATTCTCTACGAGCAGCGGCTCGTTTCTATCAGGAGGAGTTTTACACATTTTCGATCAGTAATGGCCGCAGTTCGCTTCCTCATCCTCTTCCTCCTTCCGCTTTCTCTCCCCTTTCCTTGTTTCTCCCAATCGGAAGCCGATGCTCTGCTCAAACTAAAGAAATCTTTTTCACAAGCTGACTCTTTAAACAATTGGGCTCCGGGATCCTCTCCTTGCATCAAAAGATGGGTTGGTGTCATGTGTGCCGCCGATACCATCATCGGCCTCCATCTCACCGATCTGGACATAGCTGGGAAAGTGGACATCGATGCTTTGCTTGAGATTCCAGGTCTTAGAACCCTCAGTTTGATGAATAATGAATTTTCAGGTCCGATCCCAGAGCTGAATAAGCTCGGTTCTTTGAAAGCCCTATACTTGTCTGGCAATAAATTTTCCGGTGAAATACCGAGCGATTTCTTTAAAGCAATGGGATCACTGAAGAAAGTTTGGATTAATAACAACACATTCACCGGAAAAATTCCTGAATCAGTAATGCAGTTGCCTTTTCTCACGCAACTCCACGTTGAGGGAAATCAATTCTCCGGTGAAATTCCGCCGTTGAAATATCCGCAGAAGATGACTTCCATTGATTTTTCGTTTAACAAGCTTGAAGGGCAAATCCCTGAAAGTTTATCCAGGTTTGATGCCAGTGTATTCCAGGGAAACGTAGGACTCTGCGGAAAACCTTTAGAAAAAGGTTGCGGCGCAGGGCAAGCAGCCGGTAGCGGAGGAGATCCAACATCCAGTGGCAACCAAAAGACAATGATCGTCATTGGGACTTTCATAGCTATATTGTTTTTTGTGGCGGTTGCGATTTTCTCTGCCACGCGCAAGGACGACGACTTTAGCGTGTTAGGGAACAAACCCCATAAAGGCCAGGTGTCAATGCATGTGCCAGAGTCCACCCGGAAGCCGACAATGGAGACGACAAATCGCAAGAGTGCTGATTCAAAGAGAGGATCATCACATAATGGTGGCGGCAGGAACGGTATAACCGATTTGGTGATGGTGAATAACGACAAGGGTGTGTTTGGGATGCAGGATCTGATGAAGGCGGCGGCGGAGGTGTTAGGGAACGGCGGGCTAGGGTCGGCGTATAAGGCGGTGATGGCGAACGGGCTGTCGGTGGTGGTGAAGAGGATGAGGGAAATGAACAGGTTAGGAAAAGAAGCGTTTGATGCTGAAATGCGACGGTTTGGGAAATTGAAACACCCCAATCTGTTAACGCCATTGGCTTATCATTTCCGAAGAGAAGAGAAGCTCATGGTTACTGAGTACATGCCTAAAGGCAGCCTGTTGTATGTCTTACACGGTATGCAATTCATAGTTTATAGGCAAAAATCGAACCATTTTAGCCAATGAAGCATTGTTTCAGTGATTAAGGATAAGGACATGTTAAGGTGTTTTGAAAAGTTTCAAAGCCGAATCCTCATTCCTCAAGTATACCATAATAAAAGAAAATGACACATCATTTTACTTGACTTTATATTGATTTTTGTTGTTAGGTGATCGAGGAATCATCCATGCCGATTTGAATTGGGTTACGCGGTTGAAGATAATTCGGGGGATTGCACAGGGATTGAGTTTTATTTACTCAGAATTTGCAGCATACGAACTACCTCATGGAAATCTCAAGTCCAGCAATGTTATTCTAACAGAAAACTATGAACCTTTGCTTTCTGATTATGCCATGCAACCCCTGGCCAACACTAACAATGTGGCACAATCACTATTTGCTTACAAAACCCCTGAATATGTTCAACACCAGCAAATTTCTCCCAAGTCAGATGTGTATTGCCTGGGGATCATTATACTGGAAATCCTCACCGGTAAATTCCCTTCTCAGTATCTAAGCAACGGTAAGGGAGGGATCGATATTGTCCATTGGGTTCAAACGTCAATTTCTGAGAACAAGGAGGAAGAATTAATTGATCCAGAGATATCAAGTGATGAAAACTCGCTCGGACAGATGTTGCAGCTGCTCAAAATTGGAGTTGCTTGCATTGAAAGTAACCCTGAGATGCGGCTAGGCATGAAGGAAGCCATTAGAAGGATAGAAGAGGCATTGACTTGAAACCTTGGACTGGGAAATGCTATAGGAGAGACAGAAAAATGGGTAGGAGAGATTCCCTTTGCTTCGACTTCCATCATCAAAGCTAACATGCTCTGAAGGAGAGGGAATTAGGGCATTAGTGAAGGGGAATAGTGATATTGTCTTTGGCACTTTATCACTACCTAAAAATGAACATTGTGCATAACATATGTTCAAAAAAAAAAAATTACATTTTCATTACTTACAATCTTAGGAAAGAGGAAAACTTAGTCATTTTTTTCTTAAAATTCAACACAGGGTAGTTTAATCTTGATAAGTGGATGAATTATATGGTTATATATTGTGGTTTTTTTTTTTAAAAAAAAAAAACAAAATGTAATGCTAGCTGCCATTTGATTTTCATTAATTTTTCATCACAGTTCTTCACAAGAAAAAAAGGAGAAGCATCAGCTTCAGCTATATTTGTAGGATGCACATATATTGGAAATCAAGCCTTAATTCAGGGCAATGACTAAGGATTAAGGATTGGACCCTTTTTTTTTTTTGGGTCATGGGAGGTTTCAATATTCTATTATCTATGATGCAAGGATTTGACCATTTTTTTTCAGTCATGGGAGGTTTCAATATTATATTATCTGTGATGTTTCACGTGCAGGTTCTCCATGTATGTATATCAATGAGAAGTTCCTTGTTTGGTTTATTTTGTTTTTAATGAGATAGAAAAATAGTAAAAGGTCAAGGAGTTGTAACCTAAGTTTTACTACTCATCTTGTTGATCAAAATCTGAATTTTTGAAATTAATGAATAGATAATTCTTTATGCAAGAATTTTCTAGCTAGTTCTATTGTAAATGACTTATCTTTGATTATATTAAGAAAAGATTAATTTTAAAATACGTGCAAACTAATTTAAAAACATCTTAACTACTAAAAAAAATACTATTAATTTAATCACATCTAGGTTTAATTTGTCTGAGGTCTATTCCTTAATCCAAATTCTTGTAATAGCTAGCATGCATTGTACCTTAGAAACATAAGTGTAATAGAAATCAGAAAGTTAATGGTTAGTCCTAAAGAAAGTATTTCAAATTATTAAGAACTTGAGATTTTAAATTAAAATTTTCAAATTCAAATTTTAAAATGGGTGTGGAGGAATTAAAGGGAAGGGAATAAGTATATGTCACTTTGTATAACTCATCATTGATGTACTAAAAAAAGTTAATAGTTTAGAAGTTAATGCAGGAACATTTTTGAAAGCTGACTTTGCATAACCTTAGGAGATAATAGCATGTAATCAGACACTAATTAGATGATCATAGAATTAAAATACAAATTCTGTTCCAAAAACTCATTTTCATCACTGATTTGCATGTAATTAAGATGCACATATTGCATTTCACATAAGACACATCTCCTATTTCAGATTAGTGTATGTAGGAAAATTACAATTTCGTTGGTGTCAACTCTAAAATTTAGATTTTACGGCTTAACACGCAAGAAGGCACTCAACGATAAGTGCAACACTTTCTTTGTTTGTTGTTATTATTATTATTGTTGTTGTTGAGAACGTAACTTGAAAATTGATACTTGAAGCCCTTGAAAGAGAGAACAAGATGAGGTTCACGAGAAGAAGTAGTCACAGAGGTTCTAGAACTTACAAAAAGAGAAAAAGAGTCAGAGAACAAGAAGGTTCTGGAACCTTATGAGGAAGTTCTGAAACTTGATGCTGAAGAACACTTTTTATGAGATGTCAACCTTTTATTGGTGGGCATGACCTTAGTCTTGTCACTAAACACTCCAAACTCAAGACCCTGATAAGTGTGTTTATTTGTGAACCCTAAGGGTGTGGGTGAGAGGGTCACCAAAAGAAAGAGACTAAGTGTGAGTCTTCATTGAAGTGAAAAACACTTGGTATTTGAGAGGTGGAAACACTATTGTGAGAGAGTATTCATCACCAAGAGTGGATGGGTTTGTGAGGAATCTTGAGATGTATTGAGTGAGAGTGGGTGAGATCATTTGGGCATCCATTAGCGAGGGACTGTTTCCCAAACTGATGTACTCTTGCTTGATTATATATAGTGGATTCCTGCATTCTCCGTGGTTTTTTCTTCATCTTGGAATTTTTCATATAAATTGGTGTGTAGGTTCACTTAAGCATTCAACTTCCATATTGTTCATTTGCTTCCATCGTGTTTGGGTTTCATTGTGTGTGTGATAGAATCCCCAACAATTATTATTATTTTGAACTAGACGCTTTAGTTTTGAATTTTTTTTTATTTTAAGTTATGTAATAGAAAGTAATAATTTTTTATTTTTAATTAAATTTTGCATATTACATAATTGAAATTTAAAATTTTTTATTTTTATTAAAAAATTATTAAATTACTTAAATCATTGACAAATAATGTGATTTTAGCCAAAAGTTTTGTGGTTTTTAATTAGTTTAAAAAGTACAAGGAAAACTTGTAAAATGTTTTTATTAATGAAAAATGGATTTTTTAATTTTTTTTAATTGAACTTGGGAAATTGGGAATTTTAAAAAGGGAACGATAGAACCCTAGTCTTGGGCTTTATAAAAGGAAATTTTGTTATTATGCCTAGCTCATCCAAAAAAGCTTAACCCCTTTTTAAACCCTCCAATTATTTATTTTTTGAAATTATTAGT